CTAACAAATTCATGTATCACTTTAATTGCCTCATCGTGTAAGATTTGAAATAGTTCAGCTGGTATTTGTCAACTCTGACAACTTTGTTGTTAGCAGTATTTTCTAGGGCCCACTTATTTTCACTTTTTACTTTAATTGCCTCTGTTTCAGTGATCCAACTTTTGTACCTATCATTTGAGGAATTTTTTGTACAGTTCTTCTGTACAGTATATTTAGATACACCACTGCCTCTCTTGCTCTTTTTGGGAAAACTTTCCTCTGTGTCCATTGGATTTTGCTTTCTGCCTTCCTTTAGTGGACCGCTATTTCACTTTCCTTTCCTTTTTTTTTCCTTTCATCATATTTTGTTTGCTTCATCTTCAGAGCATCATGAACTCCAGGCAAGAGATCTTCAGGCACTCTCTCAAATCTAATCTATTAAACCTCTTCTTTATCTTAACTGCATAATCTGATGGAATATTGTTTGGGGGGAATATCTTGCTTATGATCTATCTGAGCTGCAGGCTCTTGTTTTTGCTGATTTAATAGAGTTTCTCCATCTTTGCTGGCAAAGTAGATTTTGATGTCCATCTGTTGATATCCATGTGTAGTCTTCTTTTAGGTTGTTGGAAGAAGGTATTTGCAATAAATGTTGAATTTCCTTGATAGTTTTATTAGCCTGCTTCTTGTTTTGTTTCAAGCAGCAAGGCCTAATTTTCCTGCTATTTCAGATCCTCTTTTACTAGCAACCACTATAATTAGGATGATGGCTTTCTGGGGCAGTGCTGTGTTGACAAGAACTTGCAAGTTCTACTTCTGTGGTTGGAGCAGAGACTGGATCGTTTTTGTCAGCTTGCACCTGGTTTTGCCAGGTGTGAGAGCATTGTGGTGCAACACCTTCTCCCATCGTCTGTAGCAAATTCCTGGCACAGCCAGACTCCCTCAAGTCTCTGCATGAAGCCTGCTAGCCAGGCTTTTGAAAATTCCTTCTCTTCCTGGCTTCCAGGCCAAAGCTTGTGAGAGAATGATGCTTCCAGGACAATGTGGGGAGTGAGTACAGATGAGTTTGGATTCTCTCCAAGCATTCAAGAGGTGTGCGGCCTGGGGCAATGTAGCTGCTTCCTAGGTCTTGCGTGGCTCAATAGGTTGAGGAATAAATGAAAAAACATTGCCTCTCATGCTCTTGCCCTAGCGGGATTGTGTGAAGGTGTGCCTGAGGAAAAGCGAAGCAAGCGTGGGCTGGGGTGCGCCTTCCATAAAATAATAGGATGCTGCTGTTCTGCTTCTTGAGGAGGATTTTTACAAATAATCTTGCAGGCTTCTTCATGCTTTTCTTCTCTTTGCTGGCTATATTCCCATCCACCAAATGATTTTCATTTAAGGAAGAGGCGGGAGCTATCTGCATTTTTCATAAACACTGTTGAAGAAACCGGTTTGAAGAAGCCCTTTCTTATCTTGAGCCAGAGACTGCAGAAGTCCCTGGGATGACTGTGGCACAAAGCCGTCTCCGTCTTTCCATTGCTGCAAAGGGTCAATTTTCGCTCTTGGCCTCTCTTTTTGAGAATGAGGGACCCCTGCCAGAGACTCAGCATAAGGAGGGTTTGCCATGGGAGAGCTTTTATTCTTTTGTAAGAATTTGAAGCCCCATAGGTATGGGTTCTTCCCTCCCCCCGCCTTTAGCTCCCTCTTAAAGGACAGCTTTTCTGCAAACCTCCCATTGGGTGTCGCTTAGGAGTCCTTGGGTGGCACTCCCCTTCCCTCAGTCTCTTGCTGCCAGCTCCTTGATCGCTTGCCAGGATTTGGGCCCTGGCTATTGAAACAAGATGACTTTGAAAGGGAGCATGTGATCCTTGTTGGAACAAGAGTTGGGTGTGTGTGTGTGTAGGGGATCTGGGGGAAAGCAGCATCATAATTCACCATTGTTTTAGGCAGAGGTCAAAGTTCAGCTCAGTTGGCTGAAGGATGTTTGAAGGAGGAGATCTGGAGGTCTTTTAGCCCAAGTCCTGAACTGAGAGGAGGAGGAGGAGGAAGGCAAATGCCTGGAGAAGTGGAGCGTGGCTGATCCAGCATTGGACCTCTCTGGGGACATGTAAAATACATTTGGACTGGCCCCAGGACAGTGCAGAACAGAGGCATATTCTGGATTCTTCTGCATCAATCAATGATGGCCCTTAATTTGCTTGCAAGAAAGTGTAGTCTGTGGCTGGCTTGTGATCCTAGAAAAAGCAGCTGCACTGGAGGGCCTGACTGAAGGGGCCAGTCCATGAACAGTTGTTAAGTGTGACAGTGGATGGTTCAAAGTAGCAATTGGACAGCCAGTTTCTAGAAGGCAAATGGGAAGGAGGAACCATTGCCATTTCTGGCAAGCCGTTATCGGAAACAGAAGGCTGGACCTGGCTTGAATCTTTGTGCTCTACAGAAAATCCATTTCCCAGCAATGCAGATTCATTTTAACTGGGAGAAAATGATGTGGGAAATCTTGAAATCAGATCTATCTATGACTGCAGCAGTAATTGGTTGTGTAAGACTTTACAAACTGCTCCCTGCCTCTCTGTTGCCTTCTCTGGCCCTCTGAGCCTCTCCTTGTTTTTGTTCTCCAAGAAAACAAAAACCGAAACCATCTCGACACCCCATCCAATAGCCCTCCGTGGTTTCATTCCAGATCAGGAGGGTGATCTTGCATGTTATAGTGCTAAGCCCCAGTTGCATGTGGTGATGATCCTGGATTGACAGGCAGCTCTGTGGGGCTGTTGTTCTCTTAATCTCCACACACCCTTGAGAGGATAAAAGGGGTACGGCTGTAAAAATACGTTTGCCTAGCGTCCACGTCAAACTGTCTGGTTTGTAGTTACCTGCATCCTCCTTTGGAGGATAGGAGCAAGCCTTGCCGTTCTCTGCTCCTCTGCTGCTGTGGTCGCAGAAAGGGTTAGGGCCTTCCGTGCTCTTGGCCCTGGAGGCTGAAAGTCGGTCAAGGCACCCAGTTGCTCCCTGCCCCTCCTCCCTCCTTCGCAAGTTGTTTTGTTTGGGTCCATTGGACACTGTTCCCGTCTGGGGAGAAGACGGAAGCAAAATAGGCACTGAGGAGCTCTGCCCTCTTCCCATTGCTTTCCAGCTTCTTCTGGGGTGGCCCGAACCTTCCTTTTCTTCCCAGTACTTCAGATGGAGCCCCCAGAGCTGCTTTTTGGTGCTTTTAGCTTCTCTGGTGAGTCTGACTGACTTATTTATTTATTTATCTGTCCAAATCAGACAGTATGATTCTGGGTGGCATACAACATAAACACAAAATAAATCAAAAAGAAGAAAAACGCAAAGAAAACCATCTACAACCAACAGACGCTATATTAATATAACAGGTGAAATGGCGACCAAGCACACAACAAGACAACCACGGGGGATCCCACTCCCCCGGCCCCTAATGCCTGGGGGAAGAGCCAGGTCTTCAGCGCTTTCCTAAATTATTTCCTAATAATTAGTTTCTTGCTGAGATATCTCCTTGGTGATCACATCCATCTTCCCTTTTGCCCCTCAGTTGAAAGGTTCCAGGGCATCTACAACGCTTTCCTAGCTGTCCCCCCCCGCCCCATTTTCTCATTAGTATGATGTGCAGTAGTACTTATTCAGTAATTAGTGGATTAATGTGATTTATATCCTGCCTTTCCTTCAGGAGCTCAAGAGCTTCCAGGACCTTGTTTTTGAGAAGTTCTTAACTGGCATGCTGAGGCTCAGAAAAACAACCGTTCAGTTTATGCTGCCCAAGAATGTGGAGATACTTGACCCTGGCCTGCCCTGTGGCTGCAGGGGGCTTTGCTGCGCTGGGGTGGAGGGGTGGGGGGGCAGCAGGCTGGCGATTCTGAGGGGCAGCTGTCTTGAATAGGCGCTGTAGGAGGAGAGCTGTGTCAGAGAGCTGTCTGTAATAGCCAGATATCAGGAGTCTGAAGCACCTTTTCTGACTCACTTTTATTAAAAGGCAGAACCTTTTGTGACCTTGAACGAGGGGGGATGAGAACTCTCTGTATTGTGAACAACTGTTTTGAAGATTAAATTATTTCTGATTTTAAAAGGGTTTTGTAAGAAAATCTTTAATTTGAAGGACAGCATTTAATGCTGGTTTATTTTATTATTTTGCATTGGTTTCTCTCCAATTTCAGGCTTAGTTCTGGGTTGGAACTAGGTTGCATCACTGGGATATTGGGGGGCGTCATTGCTGGTGCTCTTGGGCAACAGACCACGGTCTTTCTCCGCATCGCCGTTGAGGTGCTGGCAGTTGGTCCTGGAGGGTCACTCACAGAGGAGAACGCGAGGCCAGTCTTCTTGGACAGCTTGCCTTTCACCTGCGGCACTTACTCAGGGATCAGTTATTTTTTCAAGTTAGTTGCTGAATTAGCTGTGAAAGCGTTGGGAGCTTTTGCTGGGAATGTGGTTGCCTGTGAGATGCAGCGCCTTCTTCCTGTCTTCTTCCAAGAAGATCATGGGGAGCCAGGAGGAAGGCCGAGCTGGACTACAGGGACGCGCCCTGAAGTGGAATAGGGCTGAGCGCTCGGGGCATTTGCAGCGGGGTAGCTTCCCCTTGAGGGGGGCGACTCTCACACCCACCATCTGGGAGGAGCTGTGGACCCAGGGCTGCTTGCTCTTCCAGGGAGATCCGACTTGGCTGTGGGGCTGCAGCCCTGCATGTGGTTGATGTGGGGCTGGGCGGTTGGCTTCTAAGGAGCCTGGCTTGGAAGGTGGCTCTGGGGAATTGTCCCAGGAGCTGTACAGGTTTGCAGGGCAATTTTACTCCCCCCCCCACTTTTTAATAGTAAGCTGCCTGGAGTCCTTGGAGTTAGACGGTCCATAAATTGTATGTATGTATGTATAAATAAATAAATAAATTACCGTGCGTCTCTTATAGGCACACTTCTAGCTCAGTTGTCCATCTTAAGGACAGCCTCCTGGCTGGCTTTTTTCCTACCTGCATGGCACAGTTGGTTGCCCCCTTTGGCGTTCCTTCTTTGGGTTAATGTGGGTAGGACCTGGAGTCACGTAGCTGCTCCTGCCCCCCCCCCCAGCGCAATCTGCTGGTGGGTAGGTGGATAGCATTATTCTCTTTTCTTTTTTGTGGATGTTTTATACCATTTGTGAGCTTTCTATGCTGGACAGACACGCTCTCCATTTTCTCAGTAAATGTATGTGCATAAATAAGGAATCATTTTCTTTCGTTTGTTAAATAAAGGCACAATGTTCTATCAACTCACCTGTCTCTAAAGTGGTATAGTCCAGTCAAGGAAAAGGAGGGCAAAGGGAGTTAGTTACATCTTTGATTTGGCTGTGCGGCTGATAATTGAAACCTTGCAAGTGGGAAAAAAAGAAGAGAAGGTTATATTGAAATTAAAGCTGAGGGTGGAGAGGAACCTTTGTATGCCTCAGCTGATAAGAGGGAGCACGGTGTGTGCGTTGTCTAAGATTAGAGCCCTGGACAAAAGGGAACAGGGAGGGGACTCCGTCTAGCTGATCCAGAAAGTTGAAAACAAACACCTGCCTACGGGATAAAGCAGAAAGTAGTGCTGGTCCCCCCAGTCAAGCAGTGTCTCCTTCAAGTCGAGCTTGGGTCCAGGTGAGCTACATGGTCAGGCCCATCCAGTGTTTTTATAGCCATGTGCAAGTGGCATGCCCTTGCTGTCTTGACTTCCCAGTCTGCGCTTCACTCTGGTGTTCCCGGCAGTCTCCCATCCAAGGACTAATCTGCCCAATCCTGCTTAGTTTCCAAGCCCACCCAGGTCCCCATGGTGCCGACTGCTGGGTGCCCGGGGTTCTGCCAGAGCTCCTGTGGGCCCTGATGATCTCTTCTTGTGCCTTCTGGGGTTCTGGGGCTAACATTGGTAGAAAGGGACCACTTAGGCCCTCAAGCCAACCTGCTGGCAGGAATCCAAATTCTGGCCTCTGCTTGAGTGCCTCCAGCTGAAGGGGAGCCCACCTCCTCTGATCGTGGCAGGTGCAATAGCTGAACTGCAGGTAGTCCTTGGCTCTGGGGGATCATTTTTTCCCTGCTGAAGAACCGAAGTCATTGACCAGCACAACAAACTGTGAACCTGGAATGCAAAGTAAACTGTATTCGTAAAGTAAACTTGATTCATAAAGAGAAGTTCTGAAAGATGTGGTTGTGCAGTATCTTGGTCCAGAGCAAGAAATCTGAACACCTTTGGGGGCAAGATTTCAAAAAGAGGGAAAATGTGGGGCTGTTTTGGAATCTCCAGGTTCGGACTAAGGGGCATTTCGTCTTTTGTTTTATCTGAGAGTCTCCAGCTGGACTGATCTGAAAACTGGCACCTTTCTCTCTTTTTTTTCACCTTCTGTTAAGGAACTGGTGTGTGAGGTCAAACCCAAGTTGTATGACCGAGTGTTGGAATTGTCCGTGGGGTGTTTCTGAAATCTGCATGAAGTGTCTTAAGCCAGGAGGGCAGTTCTTGCAGCCCCAGACTTGGCTTCCTCTTAGGAGATCAGCCTTACTCAGGCATATTTTCTCCCCTTCCCCCATGCTTTTTTCTTGTTCTTTTTAATTCCTGATTCAAAGATCTGGAAACCATGGAATTGAGGCCCTTTTGCAGGAGAATTATTTTTTGACTGGATTTTGGAATTGATCTTGCACATCTGGCCCAGTTGTGGCTGCAGTTGTGGATGGTTTTCTGCCCCTGCTGTGCTAGAGCTCTCTGCTCAAAGATATCCCCTGGATGGTCGGGGACCACTACAGGGGGCCTTGTGGCCTGTGTGGGTCTCTCCTGGCGGCCTTGCTTTCTCTACTTATTGACTGTCCTTCACAACGTACCTGGCTTTGCTCAGTACGGAGCCCCATCTTGCCCTCAGCCCTGGTCAGCTGGTCAGGCGTAGCTTAATTAAACAAATTGCTGGGACGATGGGTCTGATCGGGCCCCAGGGGGCAAACGCAGGTGGATGGGTGGGGAGCCCTGCTTCCGTCCTCTGCTGTGGACCTCTCTCTTTATGGAGCTTTGGCTCCATTTTAGGTTATATTATTGCAACCAACCAGTAAGCTGGAATTGGAGAAGAATAACAGGATAGCCAATATCAAATTGTGGATATTTGCAGAGTGGGGACAAACCTGTCAGTTGACGAGCTGCAGGTTTCACCCAGTGCCCACCTGCTGTTTGCCTGAAATGGGAACAGTGGACCCTGGTCATTTTCAAGCAGGTTTGCCTTGGCACCAGGCAGGGGCTGTGCTTACATGGTGTGGAGAAGCAATTTGGGTTCCAATTACCAACTTGCTTTTTGAGTTTCTTTGACTAAGGAAATGCCGTGTTTCCAAGGGAACTGATTTAGGCCATTGGTGTCTCCCTGTTTTCCCCCCATTGCCTGCCTTTGTTTATTTAGCAGGTTTCTTTCCTAGCTTGCCTTCTGAATGATATTTATTTGGTATGCAGAATGTTTGCAAATCCTGGCTTGGCCCAGGTCTCCACTTAGGCAGTTGGTCGGTAAATAATAAAGGTGAGTTTCTGGGAGGAAGTTTTGCTTTTGGAGAGACGATGCTCCACGAGAAAACATATTTGTCATCTCAGTGCTTCCACCTCGGCACCGTAGCCACTTCTCAGCCCTTCGCATGGTGCCCAGGACGATGTGGCTCTCTCGGGTCCAGAGCCCCTGTCTCCCTCCCAATGAGCTGGTTGTTGCTGGCATTTGTCAGAGCATTACAGCGTTGTGCCCAGGGGAGTCCTGCAAGAGTCCCTCAAGTGACAGCAGACCACAGGCCGTTACCAAAAGCGCTTCCTTTGGGCACCACCTCCAGTGTGGCTGGAGAGTGGTCCATCTGATTTGCTCACATGGTGAGCAGATGTAAGGGCCCTTCTGACCTGCTGGAGCACTCCGCTCCGTTCAGCTTGACTGGGTTTGGCCCGCAGTTCCAGCTTGTCAAGATCCTCCTGAGTCTTGATGTTGGTTGTCTGCAAATTTGATAATCACCCTCCCACCCCTTCCTTTTTCTTTCTGTTACTACTGATACAGACCAACTCTGTTCCCCCCAAATCACCCTTTATTGTTGCCTTAGGCTTCCTTTCTGAGCCCAAGTTCGTTTTGGGTTTTAGCAGCTTTTAGCACTTGCACCCATCTTCCATTTCTATACATGTCCCTGTTTAACTCTTACCAGTTCTTCTAGTATCTTACCATTCAGAACTTCCAGCTCTCCTGGGGTTAACTTGAAGATTTCTGTCCTTGCAATAGTGCCTAATATGTGTTGAAACTGGCTATCCTGATACTCCAATTAGGGTTCCTCCCAAGACTCCCTCCTTTACCTCATCAACCAGCTTGTCCCTGTTGCTTAGGATCAGATCATTTGGAAAATGAAATGGTCAGCAAGACCAATGAGTGCTTGCAACTTTGCAGTCTTGGCTGTGTTGATTTTCCAAAAGATGTCTGGATAGTTTATTTATTTATTTGACTTGTTAAGGCTTCCTGATTCCAAAAAGACTTTTCTGGAGTTAAGTCTCCTATTATTACTATGTCTCTCCTCTCTGAAAGTGCTGTAAACTGGTCCAGATCTTCTGCCCCGTTGGAGGGCTTATGATATCCTTGT